CTGGAACAGTGATGGGATGTTGTTCTATACTTAAGCCAATCCATTAGTGAGCTCTCATTACTGATCTCTGGCATGTGTGTGTGTGTGTTTATGTAGAAAAGGCATTGAGGGTGAAGGGAAGACCAGGGTGAGCTCAGATTCAAGATGCTGTATGGATTTGATTAGCCATTAAATGCAGGTCCAACGTGAATGTATTGCTGTATACATGCATGTCTGTACATATGGAAGCCCACGCACATGACCCCGTAATCCTCATTCATGGCTGCATCCAATCACAGCAAATTAACCATAAGATGCTTCTTAAGGGCAGGAGATAAGGAGCTGGCCTTCCAGGCCAAAAAGGCTTTCTACCCCTGCCCTGGGAGATACCCAGCTGTAGGTCTGTATTAAGAGCCATGCCACAGAACTGCATGAATTCCTGTTTCATAAACCTCTTACATTACCAAGACCTATAGGGAGCCTAAATCTGTAGGCGAGAATCAACAGGCTGCATATCTGTTATTACCAGGGTTGTCAACCTCTTTATATAGTAGCCTTCTTAAACGTTTCTTCAGATTTACAGTGGGACCTCGGTTTACGAACTGAATCCGTTCCAGAAGTCCATTCTTAAACCGAATCCGTTCTTAAACTGAGGTGTGCTTTCCCTAATGAGGCCTCCCGCTGCCGGTGCGCTTCCACCGTTCAGCTTCCGTTCGTAGACCGAGGTAACGTTCACAAACCGGGACAGTACTTCCAGTTTTGCAGAGTTTGTAAACCGAATAGTTCGTAAACAGGGCTGTTTGTAAACCGAGGTACTACTGTACTAGTTAATTTTGGTTTATCTGTTATTATCAAGCTTTTGGCGTGACATTTGGGTCTCTGCGTTGTTGTTTTTTCAAAAGGTCGTGTATATACTTCCTGAGGAGTATTTCGATTTCTGACTAATTTAATTCTTCTGTTATAAAAGGCTTGGTAGGCCTATGGGCTAGAGAGCTGGGCGTGCCAATGACAGAGATCCCTTTGCATTAGAAGAAGAAACTGTTTTTAAACTACATACCCACACACCCACACCCCTGCAACAAATTGTCTTCACATTCAGTTTCTGCTTGAATCTAACATTTCTGGGCCATTTCAAATTTCCACAGAGCTTATTTTTTCTTGCTGGTAAAAAAAAATTCTCAGCAAATGTTTAAGACCCACTCTCCTGATTAAGTGACAAAAATTCAGTATCAAGCCTTAAAAGTTTGCTGAAAATTATGCTCTTCCCACTGCCCTTGGAAAGGAAATCTAGAATGGTAGTATATTTAATTCCCCTGCAAGAGTTCAGGGAAGAAAAATCTTAACATTTTGAAACTCTAAATATTATGATTAGACCATGTTTACCGCTCTATGGTGGTTCCTTTTATACCTATTTTTTTCCCTTTGCCAACCAACGCATAGCAGATGAATCAGCTGAAGGGAGATATAGGTACTTCTGGTCACTAAGGCCACTTGAGCCTCACATGACGATTCTGGATCCAGGAGTACACCCAAACTTCAAATGTGGAGTAGTCTGGGTGTTCTGAAAGTGTACGTAGGAATAAGCCATCACTATTATTTCCTTAATCCATGTGTAGTGAAATTTGCTTAACTGCAGACTGAATTGTCTCACGATGTTGTATGTAAGTCCTTCCATTCCATCCATAGGCCGAACCAACGTATAGAGGAAAGTGGAAGGTACAATTCACATTTGGTTTGTGATTCAGCTGAGAGAATTACTGGGCAATGCTAATTGCATTAATTAAAGATAAACAGGGTTTAAGCTTTCTGTTGATCCTAAAATGGGGGTTTATTACGAAGCTATTAAATCCAGTCAGGTCAGTGTGGTGGCTACTGGAGTGGGGAATCTTCCACCATTCATGCCCATATGGGGAAAAAAATATGGACGTAACAGTTCTCAAACTGTATTATAATCAGAGAAGGGTGACAAGTGAGAAGTCTGTAGAAAAAAAGGATTTGATTTGCTCAATATGGAAATGAGAAGTACAGTTGATAATAGCGGTCAGTCATTTTCTTGACATCATAAATTGCTTCCTTTACTCTTGCCGTAAATTATGGACAAGGCTAACCGCATTAGTTAAAGGTACAACAAACTGGATATGTGTTGTCTGTTGGTCTTGAAACTAAACTAAACGAATCCTAAACGATTTAGGCCTCAACCCTATGACCACTGGCCTGGGACGAAGACCTATTGGGGCTTACATTCATTGTGTTGTTGGTCAGCTAGTTGTCCAGCCTCACAAAAGCCACTAGATTCATCTGGGAGGAAGCAGGCAAGAGATCCTTTAAACAAGAATGCTCTGAGATGCTTCGCCTTGTCACAGCTCTGAATCTGGCAGCTTCCCCCTTTACTGCAGGGAAGAGTGAATAGTGGACCCGTCTGGCTGTCACAGGCCTAATCATGTCAATTCTTCCCACTCATCACATCACAGGCTGATTGGAAAATGCTTGCCCGCTGCTAAGAAAACACCCCACTTAGACTTATTGCATCCAGAGAAATCTCAAGGTGCTACAATACCCGAGTTGCAAAAACCCAACCTGCACGGTGCCCCTCCACTGTGGTACAATATGCAATGGTCAATTTGTTGACTTAAAATGGCACCTTCCTCACCCTACCTAATGGTAGAGGCTCAGCCTCTGGAATTCTCCTTTCTCCGCTGACAAAGTACAAAGTAATCCCTTCCAGAAGTCCGTTCTTAAACCAAAACCATTCTTAAACCATGGCGTGCTTTCCCTAATGAGGCCTCCCACTGCCGGTGACCTTCCACCGTTCGGATTCTGTTCTTTGACCAAGGTTCTTTAACACTACTTCCGGTTTTGCGGAGTTCGTAAACCGAATTGTTTGTAAACAGGACTGTTCTGAAACCGAGCTACCACTGTATTTCTGTAATATTTATTGGAACAGGATGATGAAAGGGATGACTTAAAACAACAAAGAATGACGCCTGGGTAATCTCAATCACGGAAGGCCAACATTAACATCCTTCCAGCGCCAGGTGAAGACCTACTCTTTCTTCCAGGCAACAGAGAGAACGTTTCCTTCCACCGCTGAGCATCTTTCTCCCCATCAAACCACAGCGAGGAACGGCTTGCAAATTAATCGTGCTTGTCAGTCACGGCTTGGAGAGCCTTCCCCTCTGTCCCACGCCACCAATTTGCTTTTGCACCTCACCGAGTTGGCTCGGAGGGCCGTCCTCCCCAGCTCTGTTGCAGCTCCCTCTCCCCTCGCGACACCTCGCCCCACACTTCCCTCCCCCGGTCCCCAATACACAAGGCGAATTTAGATTCAGGAGCGAACGCCGGAGAGAGAGAGAGCGTCATTTAATTTGTACGCCGTGCCCTGATTGAATGGCATTCTTTATTGTGACCGCGCAGAGATGGATCGTCTCTCAGGGCTTCGCAGTCTTTTATCCTCTGGAGTTCAGAGGTTACATCAAAAACTGCCTGCCTGCTGCCTGAGGTGACCTATGAACCGCAAAGGCCAGGAGGTCATGAGGCCAGTGAAGAAGGCAAAGGCACCGAGAGTGTCATCCCCATTGTTCTCGAAGGAGAAGAGTTTAAGGCTGCACCACATGGCTCACACTGGGTGGAATAACGAGAAATGGCACCCGCAACTGCCTTGTGATTAAGAACTGGCGTTGAGCCTTGGGGGTCACTCTCGCACCCCGCATATATTCTTATAAGCATCCCATTTTAATAAGAATGTTCGTTCTTTTCTGTCATGCTTTTCGTATCTGTCTAAAGCCAGTAACACAACATTTAATTTTTTTATCTGCTTCGCACATGTACAGAAACGGTTCACCAAGGTGGTTAACTCTCTAGGGTGCTTTTCTCCTTTTTTGGTCAGGACTGTCCAGAGCTTGATGATAATAAAGGAGCCATCACTCCCCGTCGGAGCGATTTTTATGTTCTTTTAAGGATGGTACACAAAAGCAGGGAAAGAAACGAAAATCTTTTAGCAATTAAATAATAGTAGTAGTACAAGGAATTCGGTGGCACCATAAAGAGCAACAAATTTATTGCGGCATAAAGTTTTGCAGGCCAAACCCCACAATATACTTGTAGGCCTTTAAGATGCCACCATGGCGTTAGTTTTGCTACAACTGACTAGCATGGCTGCCCGCCAGGAATCTTACGAATTAATCCTCTGCCTCGTGGCTCAGGAAGAGTTCTGCCACCAATTTTGTTTTCCCAGCCACAAGTGATGGATTCCCACAGAATACATGTTGTTATGTACTGAGCTGAATCCTAGAACAATAGGATCCAGAATGCAGCAGTCTGATTGGTCCGCAGGGGCCACCCAATCCAGCTCCAGGTGGAAGTGAATCAGCAACCTGATTGGCCTGCATGAGCAGCCAATGAGGCTTCTGGAGGAGGTGAATCCACAACCTGATTGGCCTACAGGAGCAGCCTGGAATTAGCCAATCACGCAGGGCCCAATGTGTAAATAATGTATATATAGCTAGACATTTTGGGGAAAGTTTCATTCATTGCTACTATGAGCTGAATAAACAGCATGAAATTCACACTTGACTCCGAGTATATTTCACACGTGTTGCTTTAAACAGACATTTTCTTCGTTCTCTTTACTTTCTCATGGTTCCCTGCCTCCTCCCCTTCCCAGTCGCTTGATATAAACTAGATCTCAGCAGCTTCCATGCCTATGTATGTGGCCACACTGCATTACGTGCCTGATTCTTACAAATGCATAAACACTTTGGCTAGGATCCATTTTGTGATGTTTGCTGGAGCCAACCTCAAAAGCATCCTTCCTTGAAATACTTTGATCTCTCTCTCTCTCTCTCTCTCTCTCTCTCTCTCTCTCCCCGTCAGGGTAAGTAATGGCTGTATGAGAATTTTTCAAAAGAAAAATAATGCTGATTTGCAATGTTTTTCTTCAATTTCCTGAACAGATAATATACATAGCATTTATTTCGTGCTTTACTATGAGCTTTTTAAATTGCAGCAACTTTAATAGATACGACTGCAGCTGGAATTACCATGGCTGCTGGCACCAGACTCGGCCTCCAATGGATCCTTGTTAAAGGATTTAAAGCACACTCATTCCAAATACAGAGACTTAAAAGAGTCCTATATGGTGTGTGTGTTTTTTATCACTACCTCCCTGACTTGGAAGTGGTTAATTTGTACACCTGCTTCCTTCTTTGGATGTGGTATCTTCTTTCCCAGGGAACTTCATTCTGATTCTCCATTACTGTGGTAGACGCAAGCTAACTATCATTTATTTCTTTATTAAATATCTATCCTGCCATTCCTCCCAAAGGAGCCCAGGGTGGCAAACAACAAATAATGAAAATGATGAAAACATCCATAAAACAATTCCAATGCAGATGCAGACTGGGAAAGTCAGTCAGTCAGTCAGTTTTATAGCACATAGCCTAAGGCTGCTGCAATGTACACAGAATCATTCAACAATTAAAAGAAAATATACCGGATTGATACAAAAAGCTTAAAACATTTATATTATCAAGACATTACCTACTCTAAACAGAGCTATAAAGGTACCTTAATATACAAATTTAGACGTTAAACAATAAAATTTATAAGCTAAAATTATCACATGGCCACTAATATATATATAAAAAATGTTAATTAATACAGTGTGCAATTATATTCAGAGTTTGGTGATAAAGATAGAATATAGCTTGATGTAGATAGGGTCAAATAAATTCATCTCCTTTACAGTTGGTGGCTACCTTGGCTATATAATTTGCTCTAATTTTCCTAGCGGCAGTTGCAAAGAGTACTACACACCAGGTCACATACTTATCTGTGTCTGCGAGGCGATATAAAATCATGTCAGAAGGGTTCTGGCCAGGGAACCTTGTCATAGGTGCATAAGGTCCTCTACTTCAGGACATCCCCGAATGCAAACATGTTCGTTTGTTGGTATGCCTCTGTGTCTCCCATCTCTAGACTGGGAAAGAGGAAGTTCTTCAGTAGGCACTGAAAGAATAACAGCAATGGTGGTTGTTGCTGGCATCCGTCTGTCTTGAGAGACAATGGAGTGCACCTTCAGGGGTGAAGTCAAACCCCTGCGTTAGAAGCACCAAAGTGACCTCCCCGGGGTGCAAGCCTGGGCAGCGTGTATGGAGGTTTTGGGGGTGCCCAGATTACAAGACCCCCCTCTTGGCCTTGCTGATGTGGTCCAATGGAAAGCAGAGCAAGATGTTTGACACCAGCTTGTCTGCAGGAGTTGCCAGAAGGAGGCGTACAAGGCATTATTCAACCATCCTAGGGACGGCTCTGTGTAGGGTTAACTCCTTAGCCTTGTCTTCCCCCATAGATATCACACAACGCAGTGGCAGTGCCTATCTAATACCATAGTGTGGGTGTCACAGCACTAAAGGCCCCGTTCCTACATTGTGCGGAACCTGCAGAGCTCAGTGATTAATTTGGTATCTAAGGGATAAGCAATCTTTTAGGCAACTAAAAACAGATGGACACTATGCCTCTCAAGCATATTCAGTGCACGTTTAAAGCACATGACTTTCCCCAGAGAATCCTGGGAACTATTCTTTGAACTGGAGAATCCTTGATTCAGCTTAGTCTTCTAAGCACTACACTAACAGACCCTCCAAGTGCTCCTATTTTCCAGGGACATCCCTGATTTAGAGAAGCCACCCTGGTTTCTGATTTGAGCCCAGAATGTCCCACTTTCCCTTAGGACATTCCTATTTTCATCAGAGAATTGTTGGAGGGTATGGAGTTACCCGACCCCCAACCCATCTGAAGGCAATCCTGTATAGGGAAGTTTTTTTAAAAATGTTTATGTTTTTATATATGTTGGAAGCTGCCCAGAGTGGCTGGGGCAACCTAGTAAGATGTGTGGGGTATAAATAGTAAAATTATCATTCTGGAATGAGACGTCTCTATTTTTATCGGAAAAATGTTGGAGGGTGTGCACTAAACTAACGTAACAAAACACACCAACATTTCTCTTTCTCTTGTACAGTGGTACCTCGGGTTAAGTACTTAATTCATTCCGGAGGTCCGTTCTTAACCTGAAACTGTTCTTAACCTGAAGCACCACTTTAGCTAATGGGGCCTCCTGCTGCCGCCGTGCTGCCGGAGCACAATTTCTGTTCTCATCCTGAAGCAAAGTTCTTAACCCGAGGTACTATTTCTAGGTTAGCGGAGTCTGTGACCTGAAGCGTATGTAACCTGAAGCGTATGTAACCTGAAGTACCACTGTATATTATCAGAGCAAATGTTTCCAGTTTACACAATCTGAACCTTTGGTTCTCACCCACTCAATTTTCCTGGGTAACTGGGCTGTTCCTTAGCGAGTATTGAGGTGCTTTCTACTATCCTTCCACCCACCCACATATTGATTATGCCCCTGCCCCCCACCATCAGCGCTGATGTGATATTCCCTCCCTGACCAAAGATCTTATGAGGTTCATTAGGCCCAAACAGATATTCCTAAAAGCTCTTTTAAGAGCTATTTGTCTTACAAGTAATGGGGAGAATGAAGTAGGGAAGCAGTAGAAGGAGGGAGAGAGAAACTACCCTCACTGCTCAAGCAATGGACTAAAAAGCTTTTTTTTTAAAGTGTCATAATAGTAACTATTACTGCTTTTTAAAAACACAACACAGCCACCCCCAAGGGGATTGGAAGCAACCCAAGCTTCAAAACACAGCGAGATGTCATTAGAGGGCGGGAGGAACTGCTCTCTCAACATCGGTTTCTCATTTTTCTATTCATAAATTCTGTTCTTCGAACCTCCCTACCAGTTTGCTAAGTAATAATATTTTTTTTAAGTTGTCGTGAAAGCTCATCAGCGTTTTAGTGCAAATCACTCTGGATGTAGACATTTTTGCAGGGAATTTCCCCTAATACAACACCTCTTTTTTTTGCATGTTATATTTTCACTAATATATGCATTCCTCTCATGTACACATTTTGCGTGCGTCGTTTGGTCGGAGGAGACCACCAAATCTGGGAAAGCGCAAAGTTTGAAAGATAAACGCAGTTCGGTTTGCGTATTGTTTCAGGGTATATGAAATAAGGAATTTGCACTGCAATGCAAACTGAACCAAATGTTTACCCCATCCCTAATTCGAGGTGAGAAGATCTACAGTGGTGCCTCGCAAGACAAAATTAATCCGTTCCGCGAGTCTCTTCGTCTTGCGGTTTTTTCGCCTTGCGAAGCACGGCTATTAGCGGCTTAGCGGCTATTAACGGCTTAGCGGCTTTAAGAAAAAGGAAACAAACTCGCAAGAACTCGCAAGACGTTTCGTCTTGCGAAGCAAGCCCATAGGGAAATTCGTCTTGCGGAACGACTCAAAAAACGGAAAACTCTTTCGTCTTGCGCGTTTTTCGTCTTGCGAGGCACCACTGTACTTGGAATAAGAGCAGCACTACGCTCGGTGCCTGGCTAGCATCTCAATACACAGCAAAATAAAATAACTACCAGATAAAGTGAATCCGAACACATTTAGTGTTCCTGACGCTTTGAAGGACTGTGCCCCCCGGTGCTCCCAGAGATTTTTATGGACGCCTTGGGTGTTCAGAATTTCCCAGTAAGCCAGGCCTCAGCGGAGTACAAGGGAAGTGTCTCATTGTCTCACTACAAAAATACATTACAAAAAATTAACTTCTGCTGATTTATGCCAAGGCTTCAAAGATCTCTTCGGAAATGCACGTGGAGGCACATTTACACTCCCCAGAGGTCCGGAAAACCTTATACAGCAGCAGAAAAGCAAAATATGTGAGTGAAGCTGAAAGCTTAAGAGCAGGGAGTGCACAGCCGTGTCTGAAAAGAGCCATTATAAATAGAAATCTCTCCTCAAACAATATCCCCTGACGGTCGTGATAGTGCACCTAACTCTGTGCCAAAAGCGCTTTGAAACGCAATGCCTACACGCACACATACACACACCAGCCATAGATGGTATCCCAACAATTCAGATGGAGGGGAAAAGGAAAGGGAAATTCTTGTCTATTTGCAATGTTTCTCTTTCTCTATCAAGGACTAGGATCTTCCTTTGTCTCCCCTCCCCCTTGTTTAGACATTTCCGAAGCACCTATTGCATGGGTAGGCAAACTAAGGCCCAGGGGCCGGATCCGGCCCAATCGCCTTCTCAATCTGGCCTGCGGACGCTCTGGGAATAAGCGTCTTTTTACATGAGTAGAATGGCCACCTCATGAGAAGAGAAGACTCCCTGATGTTGGGAAAGATGGAGGGTACAAGGAGAAGGGGACAACAGAGGACGAGATGGTTGGACAGTGTTCTCACAGCTACGAACATGAGTTTGACCAAACTGCAGGAGGCAGTGGAAGACAGGAGTGCCTGGTGTGCTCTGGTCCATGGGGTCACGAAGAGTCGGACACGACTAAACGACTAAACAACAAAGAATGTGTCCTTTTATTTAAAATGCATCTCTGGGTTATTTGTGGGGCCTGCCTGGTGTTTTTACATGAGCAGAATGTGTGCTTTTATTTAAAATGCACCTCTGAGTTTTTTGTGGGGCATAGGAATTTGTTCATTCCCCCCCCCAAAAAAATATAGTTTGGCCCCCCCACCAGGTCTGAGGGACAGTGGACCGGCCCCCTGCTGAAAAAGTTTGCTGACCCCTGACTATTGTGTATTGTAGTCGCCCACTCTGCCTTCTGTTGGCTTCTGAAATAGGCAGTGATGTGCAACACTCTGTTGCCCTTTGCATTTTTGAGTGGACTTGCATAGGATTGCACTGTTACATTTAGGCAGTTATGGATTTTTTGGGCACTGCAATCTCGCGCAGCCCCGAAAGAAGCGCATGTATTTTTCCTGCGGTGCCCCAAAATGCATGTTTTGGGGGAACCATGCTTTCAAAGAGCACACCCCCTCAAAACAGAATGTCCCCATCATGGGAACAGTTGAGGGGTATGCACTCGCATACCATGTTGTAGATGTGTCACACTTGGCGTCGAGCAGGAGGCTAAGTGGACCATGATTAACCATAATCATTGAAGGATGAGGTGCTGGAAAGAACTCTGTGGACCACAGATGACTGAGCTTACTCACAGAAAGGAACTCTGAGTTGTTCATCAAAGATGAAACTTCCTTCTAATGTTGAGTCATGGTGAACACACATTTCAGGACTGTGATGTATGCAGAGAAGGCCAAGATATCTCTGAAACAGAGGCAGAAGACTACGAAGGCAGACTGCTTTCTGACATGGCACACAGAACAATGTGAAACTTTAATAGGATCACACAGAATGATACTTTTAAAATTGCTCAGGACAGTCAACTGCTCAAAAAATGACAGCCCGACTTTTGCCTAGTGCTAGATGACGAGAGCATATCATTCTGAGTTTGTTCCAGCATCACTGGTTACCTGGGCTTGATTTAAAACTTCAGTATTGGCCTTCAAAAATGGTCAAGGGGTTGGTTTACCTCAGGCATTACTCGCTTGCTTCTATAGCAACAGCCGGCCCTGCCATTAGGCAGAGTGAGGTGGCTGCCTGAGCAAATTTTGGGTGTCACGAAAAAGCAGAAAATCATTCGTTTAAAATTTATTATCATTGCATTTCCATTGCTGAGAAGCAGGGCAGTTGCTCAAGTACCCTTGTAACTTGACTACCTTTGGCGCTATGTACTGGAGTGCAGGTGGTGCCATTTGCTATTCTGCCTCAGGCAGTAAAATTTCTTGGACTGGCCCTGCTGCCTGGACTTTAATGTTTCAAGAATCTCTGCTCTCTTTGTGCCCTCATTATAGGTGGCTAAGCGAGTGAGTAAAAAAGACAGAGCCTGCTTGATAGAGACTTTGGACTGCCCTCCCTGTGGGGTTCTCACCTGGTTCCATCCTTCCCTGTTCTCTGTTAGAAATACATTGCTTGAACTGATGTTATTTTTAATTCAGAGGCTGTCAATGTCTAGGTCTGCTCCTGCTTTAAATGACTGCTATATTAATTGGTGGGTTTAATATTGCCTGTTGTGTTTCTGTTTTCTTTTCTGAGTTGCTCTAGATGTTAATCTGAATAGAAAAGTGGGGTGGAAGTATGACTGAATAATAATCTGCCTCTCAGCTTCCTCATTTAGAATGCGGTTCTCACAATGATATAGGAACATGGGAAGCTGTCTTATACTGGGTTAGAGCACTGGTCCACCTAGATTAGGACTGCCTGCACTGCTTTGCAGTGGCTCTCCAGGTTTTCAGGCAGATAATCTCTCCCAGCTGGGGATTGGGACCATCTGCATTCATAACAACTGAGCTACAGCTTCCCATTATAAACCTTTGAGTCCTTCTAGGCCATGCACTTATGCTTATAGGGATCTTGCCTATAATATCTGTTTCTCGATAGATAGGGATATGGATTGATTAAATACATAGACAGATAGATATAGATTGGTTAGATTTCCTTGAAGGTTGAACCAAAACAGTTGCACAGAACAGAACTGTAGAGTTGAAAGGGACCTTGTCTCGTCCAACCCCATGCAATGCAGGAATTTCAACTAAAGCATCCATGATAGATGGCTATCCAACCTCTGCCTAAAAACCTCCAAGGATGGAGAGTCCACAATCTTCCAAGGGAGACCACTCCACTGTTGAACAGCTCTTACGGTCAGAAAGTTCTTCCTGATGTTTCGGCTGAATCTCCTTTCTTATAACCTGAAGCCATTGGTTCGAGTCCTACCCTCCAGAGCATGTCCAACTCAGAAGTAAGCATGCTCACCTGAAGCCTCTTATTTGAAAAAAACACATGATGCTGGCTGCCTCGTACCCCTGAGCTATGGGGCCTTCCCTGGAAGGTGGACCTGCCCCCTCTGTTTTCAACAAGTGGAACTCAGCCAGTTCTTGGCATGTTTATGTGGGAGATAAAGGGGAAAGCATTGCTAAGACTACCACCGTTCTCATTTCCTGTGCAGAAAACACATGGGCACCAGCAAGCACACCCTTATATGAGAAGGGCCCCTGAGATACGTTGTTTTCTTGCCATCGGTTGGTTCGGCACACTCAAAACGTGCTATGCTCCTTCGTTGCGTTTGTCATAAAGTGGTAATTTTCCCACATGGCAACGTAATGGAACAAGAGGCGTAATGGACCTTTCAGAGCTCTCTAGGTCGTTCATTCCCCCCCTCCCCTTCCTCCCCTCCCCACCCCTCCCCTGTCATTTTTAAGGATGATCCACAATGTGTGAACGCCACCCACAAGTGAGGCCTAATTACGTTTCTTAAGTGAGCATGTTGCATTTCGGAGGAAGTCTTAAACGAGCACTTATGCAGTAATGCTCCAGAGTCCGCCGCTGCGGATTTTAAGGCCCACTATGTATCCTGGAGGCTGTGCTGAGCTGGTCGCGGACTACTCCCACAAGTACTTTTAGCACAGAGTTATTAGACCATTATGGCCGACGATTGTCTTTTACTGCCTTGGATCTCGTCTGTTGTCAGACGTGAGGAAAGTGATGTGTAATCCGATCCAAAAGGCTCTTGTTTGTTTTAATCTACTGTTTTAATATATTATGGCTTCCTGCCATTATAGCTTCTCCAAGAGATGGACCCTGGAGTAATTGGGAATGGTTTCTATATAGGCCAAAACGTAAAGCGTCCCGCCCCTCCCCCTCTCGTTCCCTACCCACCCGCCACTCCAAATGGCCATGTACCATAAGAAGGAACACTACCCTTGCTCTCTTGTAGCTCTTACGCAGAGCAGGAGATGGAGAGGCATGTGGTGGATGCTTGTAATGGGCTGTGTGGGTTAAAAGAGCCCTCTACACATTACTGCGTAATGCATTATGGCTGTGGGCCTCAACTCTCCCTATGGATGCATGATTGCTTGGAGGTGCGAATTGTTCCTTAGGCTTCTCCCAGCCGTGATCTGAATGTGTCTTGGTTAACATGACTCTGTTCCCATTGTAGTGGATCAGGACCAGACAAACGGCATTTTAGGCCACTACTCTGAGCTGAGAGGCTCTCGGATTGCTTACTCTGCCTTTTTTTGTAATCCCTATCTTTGGAATGCACTGTCAAGGAATGGCAAGCAGAACATGCTCCTGGAACAAGGGCGAAGATGAGGAAGTCACACACCCCAGAACCGAAGAACAAGTAGAAAAAGTTGAATAGTGTTATGTACTGAAGTTCTCACCCTGGGCCAGCAGGGGGATACTGTAGATAGTTTTCACTCAGGTCCACATATGCAAATAAGGGATTGAAAGTGATGTTAAGTGATTGGAAAATTAAAGAAAGTGGTTACAGTTGTGTTGTACTGGAGCTCTATATAAGCAGGCTGGCTGAACCCTTCAGTTCAGTTCTGTTCTGGCCTGTGAATAAACAAGAGCTGTTCGAAGAATCGCTGTGTCGTCTGATATGTTCACCCACAACTTAACAAATAGGGTGCAGCTAACTTGATTCTACAATGGGACATGGATGGTGCTGTGGGTTAAACCACAGAGCCTAGGGCTTGCCAATCAGAAGGTCAGTGGTTTGAATCCCCATGACAGGGTGAGCTCCCGTTGCTTGGTCTCTGCTCCTGCCAACCTAGCAGTTCGAAAGCACATCAAAGTGCAAGTAGATAAATAGGTACCACTACGGCGGGAAGGTAAATGGCGTTTCCATGCACTGCTCTGGTTCGCCAGAAGTGGCTTAGTCATACTGGCCACATGACCCGGAAGCTGTACCCTCGGCCAATAAAGCGAGATGAGCGCCGCAACCCCAGAGTCGTCCTCAACTGGACCTAATGGTCAGGGGTTCCTTTTTACCTTGATTCTACAGCAATGTATACGTCAACGCTTTACAACCAACCAGCATATAGCATGATATACCCTACTGATGGCTTGATGTAAGCAAAACAGGCACCCATGAGGTGTGCAGGCTTGAGAACCCATCCCCCTGTACCTTCTCACTGCAGTCTGAATAAATCTTTTCCTATTCCACCCTGGTGCAATTATTGGCTCTGGTCACCCCAGCTCCAGACTCTTATTATCTGTCACTCCATTTCACAGCACCCTTTCTTAAACAATGTACAAACTGATACACCGCCATCCTTTGAAATTCAACCACCTCAAAATTTTGCAGCAGAGTTTACCAGCCACATAATGTGTACAAGAAATGCATGTGCTAGGGTGAGGTGTGTATATGGATGCATAAAAGATAAAGGGACCCCTGACCATTAGGTCCAGTCGTGGCCGACTCTGGGGTTGTGGTGCTCATCTCACTTTACTGTCCGAGGGAGCCAGCATACAGCTTCCAGGTTGTGTGGCCGGCATGACTAAGCCACTTCTGGCAAACCAGAGCAGCGCACGGAAACGCCATTTACCTTCCCGCCGGAGCGGTACCTATTTATCTACTTGCACTGGTGTGCTTTCGAACTGCTAGGTGGGCAGGAGCAGGGACCGAGCAACGGGAGCTCACCCCGTCGCGGGGATTCGAACTGCTGACCTTCTGATCAGCAAGTCCTAGGCTCAGTGGTTTAGACCACAGCGTACATTCGGGCAAATAACATACAGTAATGTAACGTCTTAGGGGAATGTTTTTTGCAGAAATGCATGCATTAGGCCAGATTGCGTACAAAAATGTGTATATCAGCAGAAATTCGCACTAAAACGCTGATGGTTTTTCACGAAGCAAACTGAACTTTTGCGTCAGGCAGGCACCTTCACTGTACTCTTTTCAGCACCTGCTAAAAACATTTTTGTTTAGAGAAGGCTACCCATATACGTGGAACGTTGGTGTGACTTTTAATCTGTTTCTAGTCTATCTCAGGTTTTCATTTTTAAAAAAATTTTTTTTTAAAGAGATGTTTTTAACTGTTTTTACTGATAAATTTATTGTTTTATTCTTTTTGTAAACCACTTTGTGAATAAATGTGAATAAACTGAAGACTGCAAAAGTGAGAGAATGGGAGAAACCGGAACTTGACATATTTGTCCATTCCTTGTCTTGGTGCAACCATGTTTTCCCACATCATCCTTGTTGTGTCTCCTGGTACATTCCTGAAGTTCTGCTCTGCCTTATGATGGAGACCAGGCTGTATGGTTCCTCTTTTCCCTACTGCACAGTTTCTCAAAATGGAGAGTGCTCAGAATATGAAGGGGCAACTATAGAGAGCACCACAACCTTACTTCGCCCAAGATTTGGAGAGCCAGTGTGGTGTAGTGGTTAGGAGCGATAGACTCGTAATCTGGGGAACCGGGTTCACTTCCCCGCTCCTCCACATGCAGCTGCTGGGTGACCTTGGGCTAGTCACACTTCTCTGAAGTCTCTCAGCCCCACTCACCTCACAGAGTGTTTGTTGTGGGGGAGGAAGAAGGGAAAGGAGAATGTTAGCCGCTTTGAGACTCCTTCGGGTAGTGATAAAGTGGGATATCAAATCCAAACTCTTCTTCTTCTTCTTCTTCTTTAGGGCTGGCACCAGGTTTAGGCATACCCAGTTTATTTATGTAATGTTATTTAATTTATGAATCACCAAGCCAAAACAAAGAATCTCTGTTTCTCCTGATACCAAATTCTAGACACGTTATCAAAACTCTGTGTTTGTGCTGCATTTGCATGGAATATGCAGCCCTACCTTTGAGGAATAATGTGGTAAATCAATCAATTAATAATAATAATAATCGTAGTACTTTGAAATAACTAATCACTCCTCTGAATACATATTTCCGTATAGGTGTTTAATCATTTGTGCTGTTGTTTTTTCTCTGTTCAAGGTCAGAATTGTTTCTCGTTTCTTTAAAATAAAATAAGAGAGAGAGAAAGCGGTTTAACTTGAAATAATCATGCAAGATCTTGTCGGGTCAAAAAGCAGGGAGACCAGGGCAAGGTCATAAGAATAGACTGATTGCACAAAGTGAAGTTAATCTGGCTGGCACGGAATGTAAAATGTTAATGGAGAATGGAGTATAAATGTCATGACCTTAAACTGATAGAAACAACCGTATGACAGAAATGTAATTTTTGTCTTAGAAGGCTTTTTAAAATATATTTTATTGATGTTTGCCAGCCAAGAGGGAAAGGCATTTCCTGTGTGGTAAATGAATGCTTTTCTCCTCACAACTCCTGGTGGTGTTAGTGAAAATTATACTTGCAGTCCCCTGAGCTGCACCTTGATTTTAAAGAATACAGAGAGAAGAATTTGAATGAGATTATAAGGTGGCAGTGATGTTTGCTTTTTTGGTAGGAAAACATGGTTGGGAGGCGAGAGGAATGACAGAGGGACATAAAATTATGAACGATGGGAAGACTGGGAGAAATCCTCACTGCCCCCCCCCCCCACTATAGGACAAAATCGGCAATACATTCAGGATGGGGTAAAAAAGTAATGACATCTCCATGTAACACATAATTAAATTATGGAACAATGTAGGAACATAGGCAGCAGGCTAATACAGAGTCAGACCCATTGGTTCATCTAATTAGGTATTGCCTTTACCAAGGTGGGGAGCCTTCAGTCTTCTGGTCAAACTTGACCGCCATTTTGAGCATTGTGACACCAGAGGATTGACTGGTGGGCAGCCCCGTCTACCTGCCAAATTTGGATGCTAATCAGGATTTAGCCCATGAAGCCTAAAAGGTTGTTTGGTTATTTCAGTCCCCTTGGAATTGCTAGGGATTCGACAGTTGGGAGAAATCCAGTCCTCTCCTGGAGCACGTTTGGTGAAATTGCCTCCTAATTTTGCTACCTGAATTGGCTGCAGAATTTCGGGTGTACTTATTCCCCCCTAGAGTTCCACCCAGTACCTCCTTGCCACCCATCCCTGACAGGTGTTAGACCTGCAGAGCTTGGGGAAATGGAGGATCTTCTGCCACAGAATCTGCTTCCTTTACTGAAGCTTTCCAAGAGTGGAGCTTAAATCATCCGGGGCGTGTGGAAATAATCACACAAAAAGCGTTTCACATCCATCGGCTTTTAAATACATACATTGTGGGGAGACTAATTAGACTCCAAAGTCTTCGTCCTAAGTGGTTTATAATGACAACCAATCTAAAGAAGCCTATAAACATCCTAGAAAGATTTCCTGTCCAATCTCTTGTCTCCCTGCTGGCAAAGAAGATAATATATTTTGTGTAGGGTGGCTGCACATTCCCCCACCCCCCACCCCCACTCATGCTCTGGAGAAAAAAAGTGCAGCTCTTCACAGTGTGCTGCTGTTACCAGATACACAGATGTTTTCTGTGGATGTTTGTTTGTTCCAATTTAGCGGTAAACAGCGAGTTTTCCAGGGGAAAGCGGCAGAATGAAAGAAAAAGCTCTCAGACTCGTGTCCAAAAATCAGAGGACAAGTGTTAGAGTGGGCGAGCCCTTCGTCATGTTCATTAATGTCAGTGGGTCTACTCTAAGGTTACCAGATTTTTTTCAGTGAATCTGGTGACACTTCAATTTCCTACTAAATAGATGGATTTTGTCAGGGGACTGTCCCCGGGAAATGGGGACGTCTGATAACCTTAGTCTTGCTGTTGTTTAGTCGTTTAGTCGTGTTCGACTCTTCATGACCCCATGGACCAGAGCACGCCAGGCACTCCTGTCTTCCACTGCCTCCCGCAGTTTGGTCAAACTCATGCTGGTAGCATCGAGAACACTATCTAACCATCTCGTCCTCTGTCGTCCCCTTCTCCTTGTGCCCTCCATCTTTCCCAACATCAGGGTCTTTTCCAGGGAGTCTTCTCTTCTCATGAGGTGGCCAAAGTATTGGAGCCTCAGCTTCAGGATCTGTCCTTCCAGTGAGCACTCAGGGCTGATTTCCTTGAGAATGGATAGGTCTGATCTTCTTGCAGTCCATGGGACTCTCAAGAGTCTCCTCCAGCACCATTAACCTTAGTCTACTCTGACTAAAACTTAGTTGAATGCCACTCATTTTGTTGCCTGACTTGTAACAACAAGCAGCACCTCTGCCTGCTAAGGTGCGTATTATTATACTCTCCTTCCTTGGAAGTTATGAAGTAGAAGTTGGACGGCCATCTGCCATGGATACCTTAGCTGAGATTCCTGCATGTTTAGTCTCCATGGGGCTGATTTTGGGGCTCCATTTTAAAACTTTGTGTGCTTCTGGAAACCGTGGGGCTCCCCTGAGGATGAAGACACAATCCCAAAACGGTTTGCTCATCTGAAGCTGAATTTGATGTCTTCTCCGCACAGCTAGCAAAGGCCATTTTATTTAGAAACTGAGACAGGACATTTGTTCATCTAGTTGGAAGATGAGAATGGCTACCAGCCACAATGGATACGTCCTGCCTCTTCTGTTGGAGGTAGTAAGTCTCTGAATGCCTGCTGCTTGGAATTGCAGAGTGAGGAAGATTGCTACTGCACTCAGCTTCTGCCTGCAGGTTTCCCATGGGCTCCTGTCCTACTCAAGTCAATTATATTGCTTCTGTTTTGAGTGCAAGAGACATCTTTGTACTACCAAAGTACAGTGGTACCTTGGGTTACGAATTTAATTCTTTCCGGAGGTCCGTTCTTAATCTGAAACCGTTCTTAACTTGAGGTACCACTTTAGCTAATGGGGCCTCCTGCTGCCACCACACGATTTCTGTTCTCATCCTGAAGTAAAGTTCTTAACCCGAGGTACTACTTCCGGGTTAGGGGAGTCTGCAACCTGAAGCATCTGTAACACAAGGTACCACTGTATGGCTATTGTTTTGGGAAAAGGGAGGTTCATCCCAGTTTCTTGTGTATTTTGTGTTTTTTATCTTTCCATATGAACCTACCCATCATCTTCTGAGGCCCTCCTTCGTGTGCCTCCTCCTTGTGAGGTTCGGAGGGCGGCAACACGAGAACGGGGCCTTCTCTGCAGTGGCTCCCCATCTGTGGAATGCTCTCCCCAAGGAAGTTCGCCTGGCGCCTTCATTATATACCTTTAGGCGCCCGGCAAAAATGTTCCTTTATAACTAGGCCTTTGGTTGATCTAATTTACATCCTACGCCCTTTTAAAATGTGTTTTGTGTGGGGAAGGGAAGCTACTGGGTTGTTGTTTTTCTTTTGATTATGTATTTTGTGGTTTTATATCTTGATTTTGTTTTGTGAACCGCCCTGAGGACCCCCCCCCCCAGGTATAGGGCGGTATATAAATTCAATAAATAAAATAAATAAATAATAAACAAATATGGTTGTTTTGTGTTGTGAACAGCCCTGAGATCTGCAGGTATAGGGAAGTACAGTGGTACCTCGGGTTAAGAACTTAATTTGTTCTGGAGGTCCGTTCTTAACCTGAAACTGTTCTTAACCTGAGGTACCGCTTTAGTTAATGGGGCCTCCCGCTGCCGCGGCACGATTTCTGTTCTCATCCTGAGGTAAAGTTCTTAACCCGAGGTACTATTTCTGGGTTAGCGGAGTCTGTAACCTGAAGCGTCTGTAACCCGAGGTACCATTGTATACAAATTTTAACAACAATCTGATTAGTCCTGTGAGAACAGGATGCTGGACTAGATGGGCACCTGACCTGATTCGACAGTGTTTTCTCATGTTTTTATGCTCATTATTGCCCACACTCATTGGCAGACAAGAGACTCTGCCAGTCCCTGGAGATGCCAGGAATTAGACCCGAAACCTTCTGCAGGCAAATTAGAACCTCTACCAACTAAGCTGGCTTTAATGTGAGCGTGTGTGCCTCTGCCTCTGTGCTTTATTGATTCTGCTGGCTTGTTTGTTTTTTATTAATTCCGCTTAGGTTTTTTTTTTTTATTGCTCTTCTGTGTTTAATTTATGTTTGTTTTTCTTTGATATTGCTCTGGCGACTGGGAGTTTTGTTAAACGGAAGGGCGGCACAGAGATGCCTTAACGTAAACAAGTAAAATAAAATAAAAGCAGTTTGCCTTAAATCTGGGGGCTCCGTTTAGCTTTCTTGGATGAGAGGTTGGCGGATAAATTGGCCTCTTTAAAAGCTAGCGAAGCCAGTCAGTGCAATAAATGAATTGCATCTTGAGTGTGAAGAAGCAATTCCTTTTGTCCATCTTGAATGGGCTGCTAATCAGCCCAAACAATTCTAGATCTGGGCTGGGGATCCTGTGGTCCTTCAGACATTGTTGGACTCCACCTCTGAGTCCAGCAGCCAGCACTGCTACTGGTTAGAGATGGTGGGAGTTATAGTCTAACTATAATAATTATAATAATAATAATTTATTATTTATACCCCGCCCATCTGGCTGGGCTTCCCCAGCCACTCTGGGCGGCTTCCAAAAAAATATTAAAATACTGTAATACACCAAACATTAAAAGCTTCC